GTCATCTGTCTGAGATGGTATAGGTTCTCCTGCTTGAGCGGGGGGCTGGACTAGAAGACCTTCAGGGTCCCTTCCAGCTTCTGTTCCATTCCATTCCATTCTATTCTATTTCTATTCTTATTCTGTTCTATTATTTATTCCCATTCCATTCCATTTAATAACAATAATAATTCTGGCTCTTTTCGGATGGTTTTTCTTTTTTCCTCACCTGTTTCATTCATCCACTTTCATGGACTTTAAGAGTGCTCAGGCTCCATTGACTAGCGTACTAATCCTTCACCGCATATAAAAACCGCTGAACCAATAGCATCTTTTAAATGATCTCTTAATGCATCTCTTCATTTTGCAGATAGCCCACTCTATGCCTGTTTCATCCTCTCCTTTTTTTAAAAAATAAAATAAAATAAAATTTCCTCCAACCTGCCCACAATTTCTCCCCCATAATATTTGTTGGTTTATTTGTAAGCATTTGTATCATCGTTTTTGTCTGAGGAGCTAAAAAAAAATAAAATCCACTTTATATTTTTGTAAGCAAGATTTCCTCAGTTCCTCTTACTTGGGGCTTGGGCAGGAATTACTGGAATGAATGAAGTTGGCTTTCTTAGTTAGGCAGATCAAAGATATATCTCTAGGGTCCTTTCGCTGAAATTCAAGATACAGGAAGCTCAGCGCTTCGAAATGGACTATATTGATAAAATATATCCAGCTTTAAAAAGAAACAAAAAACGCGTTGCAAAAAGTATCAGTGCTTGTTTGCTCCTTTAAAAAAATAAATAAAGGAAATATTGAATCTTCTCATCTGTGTTTACGCGACATCCAATTTAACCATCGACAAAATGCATAAATCTGTGGACTGACCAGGAATTTTGGCACGATCAAAGGGAAATTGGGAACCAATTCTCCCCTGTGCATTGGTAACAAGCACTTTGCAACCAGCTGAAGCTTTATTTAAGCCCTTGATCATCAGCCTGATTCCTTTTGCAAAATCTAAATGGGGGAACGAAGAGGGAAATGGTTTAGATGTTTCAGCGGAATTAAAATGCGATCAGGTTTAAGCACCTTTGACATGTCTGGGATTCAAACTGAAAGAAAGCTGGAGGGAAGAAAAAAAATAATAATATCCAGTTAAAGGTCCAGTTAATGATTCTAATAGATTTCCGGGTAGAAATATATTTGACGCTTGACTGAACTTAAACTTTTACCAGAAATATAATACCGCCATTGAACAGCAAAGTATTTAGGCAGCTTCTCTGCTAGTTTTACAAAGGAGGAAATGTGCATTAAGAAACACTTTGAAATATTGTTACAGGTTTTAGTCTTCCTTCCCCTGGCAGAAAACCTTTTTTAATATAAGGAAGCACCTGAACGTTGTGTTTCGGAAAATAAAAACTGGGTGGAATTTCTCTCTCGTTTTTTTCCCTCCCTTAAAATGCCGCGGCCTGGTTTTTGCCCCACGGCACGGGAGGGTTTTAGAATTGGGTTTCAGAAAAATAAAACTTTGTTCCTCTTTACCCCTGAATTGTTTCTCTGTCTGGTGAGCGCCAAGCTCTCGCTTAGGCCAGCCCTGTTGCTGGCGGGCTTTCAGGGGAGAAAGGCACTAAAATTGAACATTTTCCAGTTTTAGAACTAAAAAAACTAAGGGTTTGTGGTCATCTTTATTTGTTTGGGTTCCACCTGGATATCTTTTCTCTTTTGGTTTCACTTCTACTTTGTGGTTTCTGTTTGATCCAATTGTTTATTCCTTCTTTCTTCCTTCCTTCTTTCTTCCTTCCTTCTTTCTTCCTTCCTTCTTTCCTCCTTCCTTCCTTCCTCCCTCCCTCCCTCCCTTTCCTATCCTTCCCTTCCCTTCTCTTCCCTCTTTCTCCTTCCCTTCCCTTCCCTTTCCTTTCCTTTCCTTCCCTTTCTTTTCTTTTTCTTTCCTTCCCTTTCTTTTCCTTTCCTTTCCTTCCCTTTCCTTCCCTTTCTTTTCTTTTTCTTTCCTTCCCTTTCTTTTCCTTTCCTTTCCTTCCCTTTCTTTTCTTTTCCTTTCCTTTCCTCCTTTCCTTTCCTTCCCTTCCCTTCCCTTCCCCTTCCCTTCCCTTCTCTTTCCTTTCCTTCCCTCTTTCTACTTCCCTTCTCCTTCTCCTTCCCCTTCCCCTTCCCTTCCCTTCCATTTCCTTCCCTTCTTCATTGATTTCCTTTTACTCCTTTTAAGCCTAGAACTTGAATATTTCAGAGAAGCAGGTAAATGTGTCTCCAAATTGCACAGCCTGCACATTAACCGAGGAGGGGGGGGTCCCTTAGACCGATTAGCTTTTTTTAAAAAAAATAGCCAGAAAGCAGCACCCTAGAGCTGATCTAGCAGATCTGGAGGTGCTTTCTTTCTGATTTTTTGGGCTGCAGAAGTAAAAAAAATCAACAACCAAAAAACCCACCCCGCAGTTGGATAACAAGATTGCTGCCCTCTTAATAAGAGTATTCCGGCCTTGATTGGCGCAAGGCCTTTCGTTTCCCTTCGCCTTCATTTCTTTTGCAAATCAGTCATTGCCTTCCCTCTTTGCTTTCCTCCAGGGCTGCCCAGATAACTTGGCCTCTCTGTTTTCTCTTCTGCTGGCAGAGATTCGCAGCCTGTTGCTATTTTATCCCTGAGCACTATTTTATCCCTTCTCCCCCCCCCCACTCCTTTCCTTTTTTTAATTCCCCCTGTGAACATCCCGTTCTCTGCTTATCTGCCAAATCTCGGCCTCTGGAGTCCCGCCACGGATCATCGGGACAAAAGCATCACGTGAGGGAGTGTCACCACATTTGCTCCCAAGTCTCATCCGAACCCCACACCCCCAGGACCAAAAAGGGGGGACGAGTGACACAAAGCGCAACTAACAACATCAATAACCAGAGTGAGGACATCCTGCAGTTTCCCAGCAGTTGTGTGTGTGTGTGTGTGTGTGTGTGTTTTTTAATGCCCCATTGCCATTCTAGCAATTCCTTCCCAGGCTGGTGCCCATGTCTTCCTGCTTCCTTGCCTCCAGAAGCGGTGAATGCTCCAACATTGGTCGTTTTCAAGAAGAGATCGGACAGCCCCTTGTCTGAAATGGGACGGGGTTTCCTGCCTGAGCAGGGGGCTGGACTAGATGACCTCCGAGGTCCCTTCCCACTCTTGTTATCCTGTTTTGTTTCTATCCCTTGTGTCCTAGGACAGTTGGCTATCTGGAGGAAGGCGGGGCAAGCAGAAATGTGATGACCTGTCCAACAGGACACTTGTTCTCTTGGAGAGAGTAATAGATGAAGCCTTTAGAGACAGAGTGTAGAAAATAGAAGCATAGGGCTGGAAGGGACCTTGGAGGTCATCTAGCCCAACCTCTTGCTCAAGCCAGGAGATCTGATACCATCCTCCTCCTCTTCCTCCTTCTCCATCTCCTCCCCTTCTCCAGAAATGGGTAGTCACTAAACCTCTTGAACAAATGACCTTTCTTCGCAGTTCAGTCGTTGGCAGCCTGCTAAAATAATTACGCTAATTTCCTAATTGTTTTGAGGCTGGGGAGGGGGTGGGGGGGTGGCTTTCCGAGATTAAAGCTATTTAGCCCGACTCTGCATGGGTGTGCGCTTTACATAAAAAAAAAAGTCGCAATAAAGGGCCAACCTCGGCCTCGGTCCTGTTGGACGGCTGGCTGGACGCTCCTCGCTGCTTGTAGGCGGCCCCAACTTAGTGGGGCACACTCAAATTGTCGCTAACTCGATGTGGTCACCAACTTGGACTAATTCCGTTAATGATTGCCCCTTGCAATTTTACTTTAGTTTTGCCTCTGTCCCATTTATATATGTATATATACGTTTTCCTCCTGGGGTGGGGGGTTCACTTGCAGACTCCCCCCCCCCTGCTCTTCTCCCAAAAGGCCATGAGCTCTCCTGGGCCTGAAAGAAACAGCCTTTGTGAACCTAAGGCACAAATAGGTGGAAGAAAAAACCCCAGATATCTTAACGCCCACTTCTAACCTAATAATTATTCCTCTGAACGCGCCTAAATTAAATAAATGTTTTTAGCTACATGACTTTTTGTTTTTTTTTTTAAAAAAAAAATGTGGAAGCTTTCGTGTGCTGAACGGAGAACACAGCTAAGAATTCCCCATTTCTGCTCTGTTTGCAAAGGGGTTATGATTGCGTTCCTCCACCTTTTCTTTCTTTCTCTGTCTCTCTTTTTCTCTCCGTCTCTCTCTTTCTCCCTTTCTCTTTCTCCCTCCCTCTCTCTTTCTCTCTCCCTTTCTTTCTCCCTCTCTCTCTCTTTCTCCCTCTCTCTCTCTCTCTTCTCTCTTTCTCCTCTCTCTTTCTCACATGACCAATGACCACGGGGAGGCGGCAACAGTCATTAAGTGTGAAAAGCTTTTTCCATTGTAGCCATTGTAACTTTCAACGGTCACTAAATGAACATGTGGTAAGCCGAGCGCTCCCTGTCTCATATGTGGAAAGAAGGCAACTCGCTCCCAAAGCTGGCAGCTACCTTTGTATTGTAGTTTTAAGTCCATTTCGCAGTTTTCCCGCCGAGCCTGTTGTAAGGACCTGGGTTTTTTTCTTAATTTCGTGTGTGTGTGTGTGTGCGTGCGTGCGCGCGCGATATCTGGCGTGATGCACCAATCCTGGGGGAACTGGGAGTGGGACGTCAACTTGGAGCAAATTGAGGAGAGCAACAACAACAACAATAACAATAATAATAATAAAATAAAATAATAATACTGGAGATTAAGATGACACAAATGATTTTAATTTGAGCATCCCCCGGGATGGGTCCTGGCTGTTTTGGACACCTGGGATAGGGTATATGTGGGATTCGAACCCACTCCCTTCTAGGGGAGGCCAGCTGGTTGCTACGGTGTGACTAAAGGCTGGACCAGATGATTCTGGAGGTGCCTCCTATAAAGCTGTGATTCTGTGGACCTTGTACGTCAAGTCCCGTGAAGAACCTCAACCGTTCTCCTCCTTAGGAGGCGTTCGTCATTCGTAATTTTCTCCCTGTCTTCCTTTCAAAGGCGACCACGAAATTGTGACCAACATGTATGAAACGGAGGCAGAGCTCCTCGCCGGCGAAAGCGGAGAGGAGGAGACGGAGGACAGCGTCATGTCCCCCATCCGCGTCGGACCACCCTCCCCTTTCCCCACGGGCGAGGACTTCAATCCCAAAGAAGGCTCCCCGTACGAAGCCCCCGTCTACATTCCGGACGATATCCCGATCCCGCCTGACTTTGAGCTGAGAGAATCCTCCATTCCAGGAGCCGGACTGGGCATTTGGACCAAAAAGAAGCTGGACGTTGGAGAGAGATTCGGGCCGTACCTGGCTTTTCCCAGGACGATGTTGAAGGAGACCAACTTTGGATGGGAGGTAAGATTTTTCTGAGGTGGCCTGTGCGAGATTGCCGTAACGAAGCTTGAGTTTCGGGAGACGGGAAAGAGAAAGAGGCGTTGTGTTGGTGCCACATTGTGCAATGGCGAGGATATGTCTTTTTTGTGTGTGTGTGTGTGTGGGGTGGTGGCTACCCTTTCAGCCGTGTGTCAGAAGCTCCTTCCGATGCTTCAGGGGCCATCTTTGCACAAAAGTGAGCAACCTGCAACTCTTAGATCCTAGGCCAGGGGTCTTCGAACTTGGCCCTTTGATGACTTGTGGACTTCAACTCCCAGAATTCCTCAGCCGGCATGCTTTAAGCTGGGTGGACTTCAACTCCCAGAATTTCCCAGCCAGCTTCCATCCATTGCTGCTTATTTTGGGTCAGGACTGGTGTTCTTCTCCTCTATCTGTCCCTAATGTTCATATCCGTTGTGGAGAAGGGCCCCCGCCACGTTCAGGAAGGCCTTCCACTTCCTAGAGGAATGTTTAAGTGTCGTACACTTCCTCTGTGGGGGGGGGGGAAGGGGGCTTTGCAATTTGGAGGACAGGCAATTAAGCCGAATGCCATGGATTCAGGCAGAATTCAAGATCATCTCAGCTCCTCCAAGGTTACTATTGGCTGGTAGTAAAATGGAGGAGAAGGCCCTGCTTGGCTGGGATTCGTTTGGGGGGGGGGGGTTGCTTCAGCATTGCGTAGGTCAGTCCTCCCTCTATAGATATGCTGCTTAGATTGAAAACACAACAATGTTTTCATTGTTGAAGAAACAAGAACTATCCTCCCCCCCCCATCATGCCATCACTCTGCTAAACAACCAATTCCCACGACACTGTCTTATGCCCTGGGATGTCAAATCACCTAGTAGGGCTGTTTTACTCTTATCCTTCCCATCTTTCCCATTACCTGTTTCCTTCGCTTTTTATGACTATAACACTGTTGTTTGTATGTTACGATTTAGGTTGATTATTTAGTGTTCTATGATTATCCCTGAGCGTTGTATCTTATGGTTTATGATGATTGTATTTTATGGTTATGATCATGATTTATCACTTGTGGCTTGTGTGTACACTGAGAGCTTCTGCGCCGGAGACAAATTCCTTGTGTGTCCAATCACACTTGGTCAATAAAGAATTCTATTCTATTCTATTCTATTCTATTCTATTCTATTCTATTCTATTCTATTCTATTCTATTCTATTTTCTGTTCTATTCTGTTTTGTATTTCTATTCTATTCTATTCTATTCTATTCTATTCTATTCCTACTTTCTAGTCTAGTCTAGTCTAGTCATTTAAAACTGGGTAATGGTGAATTTATAAATATAATAAATGAAAGATAGATAGATGGATGGATGGATGGATGGACGGATGGATGGATGGACGGACAAAATGTAGCATTTGACTCGGAGCATCAGACTGGCTGACTCAATTCCCTACGTTACTTTGATCTGGTGACTTGATCCAAATGGACAACTGGATTCCCAACCTGGATTTGATGGGTCGATTTGATTGCCTTCAACCTGCATTGCTGAATCCGTCTTTGGTACCAGGGAAGTCTTCCTTCTCTGAAGGTTGTAAGAATGTCTGTACGGAAACATCTCTGCCTTCTTGTCCTCTTCCGCTCTCCTGCACACTGTGACGGTGTGGTTGTGGGTGTCTCAGCTCCCTTGTCGGAGAGCGCAGCCTGGCACGGCTGCAAGGCCCCGAGAGCTTCGTCTCCAACCCCTGTGAGCCCGTTGCTGTAGAAAATGAAATCGGCCACATCGCGGAGGCCTAACTGATTTATTGGTGAGTCAAACACACTGCGGGCACCGAGCCTTACAAATATTCAATTTGGAGATCTGGTGGCTGTTTGATTGACTCCGGCTGGCGGAATCCAAACAACGACTCAACTCAAAGCGGCGGAATCAAGACGGACGTTTCCGAATAGGTGCAATTTGGAGCCATTTGGGCTGCCTTTCATGCATCTCTGCCTACGTTTTTGAGCAGCGGAGACGACCACAGAGTTGAACCAGCCCCGTCTGGAAGTTGATTTGGAAACCTGAACTGAAATCGGATTGACCGATGAAGCGAGGGTTCCCCCTCCGATCAAGCCCAGCAGCGGCACCGAACGAGGGAGCCAAATCAATTCAGACCCAATCTGAATTGGAGTCCTCGTGGACGATCCCTTGAAGACGAGCCAGCCGTGTGCTGCAGCTGCCAAAAGAGCCAACACAGTGCTAGGCTGCGTGAACAGAGTCTTTTTGTTACATCTTTCTGACTTCTTGACTTCCACTTTTTTGACAGACTTTTGTGCGCCGTGATCCTTGATTTGTGACGTCTAACCGGGTCCTCGAGTTTTGCCTGTCCTCCCCCCTCCTCGAGGGAAGAGACGATGGGCAGCTAGACAAATAAGTTAGATCAACGCAATCCAAATGTTTTTCCTCCAGAAGTTGGATGAGGTCCAACTGGGCCGGTTCTCCCAATCCGGCAGTGAACAAAGATACCTCAGAGGGTCTGGCTGCTTGCTCATACTTTGGCAGCCAACCCCTCCATTGCTGGAATGCTTGAGGAAGACCCCCTCCCCTCCCCTCTGGAGTGGCCGGTGGAAACGTCTCCCCTTCCTGTTGCTCTCTTGTTTCACCCCCTCTCCAGGCCTTGGAAATTCTGGAATTCTTGGATTTGCACAAGCCCTGTGTGTTTTTGGTGAGCTCTGTGGAAGCTCCTTGCGGGACGAAGGAAAGCGTCAATTGGGGAGCTAGAAAAAGGAGGAGAAACCTAAGATTTATCTATCTACTTATCTACTTCATCTTTCTTTCCTTTCTTTCTCTTTTTCTCTCTCTTTCTCTCTCTTTCCTTTCTTTCTTCCTTCCTTCCTTCCTCCCTCCATTCCTCCTCCTTCCTTCCTTCCTTCCTTCCTTCCTTCCTTCCTTCCTTCCTTCCTTCCTTCCTTCCTTCCTTCCTTCCTTCCTTCCTTCTTTCTTTCTTTCTTTCTTTCTTTCTTTCTTTCTTTCTTTCTTTCTTTCTTTCTTTCTTGCATTTTATGAGGATTCTAGGCCATCCATCTGGGCCCTGAGATCAACATGGAAGCTGATCCTCGGCACAGCAGCTTATGTATTCCTCCCTCTCTGAAAATATTTATCTTTCAAATATAATAAGTGAAGCCTCTGTGCGCGGCTCGTTGCTCCTCTGCAGGACCGTCACCGGGGACACAAGAAAAGCTAAGCCAGCTTCTGGGGCTGGCCAGCCTGTTTGGAAACGGGAGTGCCCTCTGTGAAAACGCTTCCCAGGAGCAGCCATTCCTATCCACAGTACACTCCCTGCGCCGGGCAAGGCCAGTCATAAAGCATTAATTTATTAAAAGATCAACAAATGAGCTTGTTCCTTGTCTCACACACACACACCCCCACACACATACCCCCAGGCTTCATAGCCGTCTCTATGCTCCTTTGCTTTTTTAAAGAGCAGGTGATCACATTCAGAAGCATATCTCTGGAGTTCATCCCTCCCCTCTTCCACCATTTGTCCTCTCTCAAAACCACACACACCACGAGACCCAAGTGGGATGCGTGAAGGCTAAAGAGACAACTGATGTTTCCCTTTCTTTTGAAGTGAGGCACTTTTGCACTGGAACCAACCAATGAAGAAGTAGTAGTAGTAGTAGTAGTAGTAGTAGTAGTAGTAGTAATAAAAATAAAAATAAAACTCTGGATAGTGGATGTGGCAGTGCCTGGAGACAGCAGAATAGAAGAGAAAGAACTGGAGAAGATAACAAAATACAAAGACCTACAAATAGAAATAGAAAGACTGTGGCAAAAGCAAGCAAGGGTAGTACCAATAGTAATAAGCTCCTTGGGTGCAATCCCAAAACAACTGGAGCACCACTTGAACACCATTGGCATTGACAAATTCGCTATTAGTCAATTGCAAAAGGCTGCCTTACTAGGAACTGCTTCCATCCTGCGACGATATCTGTAATACCATCAAACATCCACATCTGCCTATCCCAGGTCCTGGGTAAGGACTCGATAGGTAGACAAAATGCCAAATCCAGTCTGAACATCTGGCTGACTGTGCGATGATCCATAATAATAATAATAATAATAGAATGCTGGGAGGCCGGGCAAATCATATGAGCATTGTATTTATTTGGCTAAAGGAAGTGGCCGATGGAATACAGAGTCCCGGAGAGAAATATTAGCCCCCCACACCTGGAAGATTTCCCCATCCAAGAGGGAGGGGGAAAAGCTTGATACTGTTACCTAGTTTCGTCATGAAACGTCTGCAAGAAAACCACCAAGCTCAGAGAGCATCCAGGACTCCACAGTCGTCGTTGTCGTCGTCCTCCTCCTCCTCCTCCCTGCAAACCTCACTCCCTTCTACCACTGATGCTGTTACCTACTTTGGTCACGAAACGTCTGCAAGAAAACCACCACGCTCAGAGAGCACCCGGGACCCCACATTTTAACTCCCAGCCTACAAAGACTCTCTTCAGTCAGTACTGTTGGTTACGGCCGGCTGGGGGGCTTCTGGGAGTCGAAACCCACACCTCTCTGAGTTGCCAAGTTTGAGAAACCCTGATTCAGCTTCGCAAGGCAAGGGGATCCCCTTTCCATCCCCCCCCCTCCCCCAAAGGCAGCAGTGGCCTCTATCCCCCCCTTTTTTTTCCTCCCTCATTTTCCTTCCAGCTCAGGGCATCTCAAAACAAGGAACTCCAAGGGGACTAGCATCTTTTCCCGCCGATCCGAAAGCCAGGCCAGAGAAGCTATGTCAGGAATGGGTTGGAAACATGGGTATATAAGGAATTGGGATGGGCAGGGGGGGGTGGGGCGGAGACCGCCAGCCAGCTAGACAGCCAGCCAAAGCATGAAACTGAGGATATTTCTCCCTTTTATTTCCATAAGGGGTAATAATTCATCTGTAATTCCGCGAGGGCCTTTCTCTCAAAATAGAACCCGCTCTGATTCACAAGCAGAAAATAGGAAGCCCGTGTTTTCTTTGTGGATTTTTTTTTTTTTTTTTG